CTGGGAACGAACGAAAAGGGCGCGAAAATAGTTGTAGGACACGGGATTTTAGAGATAGAGTATATACATGTTAGGAGTTTATATTATGCGAATTATACTATAAGAAATAAAACTATCAAAAGTTAATGAAAGTGAGAAGCAAATAACAGTGTTGAAGAAGGATGTTCTGTTCTTCTGACCTTAGCCCGTGAGAAACAAAATTAAAATCCATTCCATTTAAGGTGGTCCTAAGTTGAAAACAGTGTTAGTTGTGACGTAATTACCGGAAAGATCTATTAGAAAAGCGTCAATTTAATCAACACCAAATTTCATTTATGACTTATGACATGTGTTTATTCATATATTGTAATTATTCATTTCTTTTCAATGATCTATTGTATTGGTAGCCGTTGCCGTCGCGTTGCCGTCCTAAAATCGTAAGGTCTCTATTATAGTCGCTCCCCAGCGACTATAATACGGTGACTATAGGTTTCGCGCCTGTTTTATCAATTTCCGTCATTGGAGACAAAATGGAATATTCCACTGATCTATAAACATATATGGACTGGCATGTAGTGGACATTGGTAGTGGATCTCATTAGGACTTTTAAAGCGCAATTTGTCTCATCACTTCCCCGTACTGTAGATAAAGCATTGCTAATATTTCCTTCGAGAACATCCCTATAGACTTCCGCGAGACCACAGCAAAATATATTTCCAGTACCTCGCAGCTGGTAAAATATACTCTGAGTGAATATGTTCTTACTAATAATTAATATCATTCACAAAAAAGTATTTTCCTGTTTTCATCGGTAACAAAGAGGTTTTGTTTTTTTAACAGTTAAACCTAAAAACACAAACATAACGTTCACACCAGAAAAAGCTGTAGTTAATGGATCGGTTACCATAACGTGTAACTCTGAAGGTCTTCCTGAACCAAGTTATAGCATAATCCATAATGGTACCGAGGTCAGTACTGACAAGACGTATACCATAGATGATGTGCAGTACAGACACGCTGGAATATATACATGCGTCGCAATGAATAAACGTGGAGAAGATTCAGCTTCTGCTAATTTAACTGTCATAGACATAGGTAAGATTAGATGTTTGGACGAAATCTTTTGACCAAATCTCTAGCTATCTGTTTGGTTCATTTTTTGTCGCTTGATCGCTTTTATATACACGTACTACTTTTATATACACCAGTTTTCTTGTGTTTTTGTTATTAGATAGATAGAAACTTTATTTATACACGCTGACCCCGTCAACCGAAGCTGATTTCCACGGGGGGCGTGTGCAAAAATAGAAAAATGTTACAGGAAGATATTAAAATACTTAAGTTTAAAAAGGTAGAATATTAAAATATTTACATGATAAGAAGGTTATTAGAATATTTACAGTTACATCAATTTACTCTATGTCAAACACGCTGGCACAAACCGTAGTCGACTTTATTATAATACATGCATGTTGGATGTTATATTAAAGGCAAATATCATACAAATGTGGTGAAAGCTTGTCAATCATCGGAGAGATCCTTACCATATAATTCATTTATTTGTTAACCTTTAGCAGCCGGTGGTCTTCCACTCAAAATTTTGTTTTTTTTCACTTTTCGAAAATAGCAAAATTGTCATGCCTATTTATTATATTTTCATGTTGTAAAGCTTTTTTAACGGTATTTCTTCGTTAAATATGAAAAAATGGGAAATACTGAACAAATGTGCTATTTTTCCCTTAGCAACCGCCTTAGCAACGAATAGTTTACTGTGAATCTTGACGATTGCTTTTGAAAAAATGTACTATTACCCACCCCTCCCTGATTTCTTTTTGGCAGAACGATCAGGGACATTTCAACCTCGTTCCCAGGGCTTCAGTGTGAGGACGAGGCGAGACACGAGGAAGCCCTGGTCCGGGCCGGTCAATTTTGCATTCTGATTGGCTAACACCATATTGTCTAAAAATAACTGAACTTGACAGTTGACAATAACAATTCAACATTTGTATTTTTATGATTCTTGTGTGTACGAGTATGTTTTGCAAAATAATCTTTCAAAGTAAGACGTTTTCCTGACTGCATGATTTACTTTCGTCTCGGCCGGTTACAAAACTCAAAAGCCGTGTCGAAGTGAGCTGTGATGTTTCCTGACAAAACAAGAAACGTCTACTATTATTTAAGGTGTAGTTTCCTTGTACAGTATTTATTAGTGCAGATGTCTGATGAAATACTACGCGTATTGCATTGTAGTAATATTTTAATTTACAATATTCTGTACTGACAAATAAAAGCAACACAAACAATTAAATGAAACTACTAAATTAATTTAGGCCCTGTTTACTTAATAGCTCTACGCCTAGGCCGATGTAGTCTACAAGATTCGCACGCCACCCAGTTTTTCAGTTTCAGAATACGCCGAATACTTGAAAATTGCGACTATACGATAAAATAAAACAAAAATTGTGAAGGGGATAAAATTTGTAGGCAAGCATTGCTCCTGAACGGCAAGTGTTGGTGTCCGGCGAAACAAGCGAACCGTATATTCCTGTACAGCGTAAACAGGTTACGCGAGGTTTTATATTTGTGTTTATTTAATATATTGAACTAAGTCAGCTCTATAACTAGTATAAGAGCATATTTAAACTAAATATTAATTATAGCAATAGCCATATTGTTCAAGACGAGAGAAAGGAAATTTCGTGTGAATCACCACTTGCATGGAGACGCCTAGATGCAGCTTGGATGCAGAGCTTTGCCTGTAGTTGAAAATCTCCAGAAATATCGGTATATCTTAGAAAACATAGACGGGATCTTCATAGATTTCAGCTGATTCGTGCCAAACTTCGCTCTACACATAAATAATATCGATTGAGAAGTCTTTTGGCTATTTATTTGTTTCGAAGACTTGTATATTTCATTTGATTTCATTAAAGAATATCTCGCCACTCCTTGACGAGTAGCTGTCAAATACTGCCATTTTTTGTCGTCACGTGACCGGCCCGGACCAGGGCTTCCTCGTGTCTCGCCTCGTCCTCACACTGAAGCCCTGGGAACGAGGTTGCTCAGAAGGCTATTAATATGGAGGATAGCCTATATAAATGCATTAATGCAGTGTACATAGGATATAAAGGTCAGGTTTTATAGATGAATGTTAAGACTTTAAAATTGATATGTTTATTTGAGTAATATAACACTGTAGTGACTACTAGTCAAGTGATCAATGACTCAACAAGGTTATTAGGCAACAAAAATGACTGTAGTACTATCATGAAATAGTTAAACATAATACTAGCAATCTGTAATTTGATGAAATGAGACATCTTCCACAATTATCACATTTCTGCAAGTACTTCTCCTTTACTTTTCCCTAAGGAGCGAGTTGCGAGAGTTAGTCAGACTGATAGTTGCTATAATTATCTCCCATTTCATGAAGTTAATTTTTTGTTGAAGCTGCTTTCAGAGTGATGCAAATTGCGTTTCAGAGGTTTAAAAATATAAACCTTCCTGGGGGACAGGCCCCCTAGGTGCCTCGTGCATTCGCCGCAATGCCTCGCGCATTCGCACGAAAAATTCTGGATCCGCCCTTGAGATTGATCGAGGCTGAGGCTGAAAGGGACGGTTCGGGTAGTTCAGACGATTTGAAGAAAAGACTTCGCGATTTTAGCGAGGATTATCGAACTCCTGCTGAGACCGGAAATAAGGTATGGGAACTCGGAAATAATCTGTCGAGAGTCAGAAATCCAAAGGTGATAAACTATCATAAAAACATGAACGAATTAAGCAAACTTTTTCGAGAAGATCCAGAGGAAAAGGCAAAATCTACCTCTTCATGGATTGCCAATCTAGCATCGGCGACGAACAAGAATCGACGTACGGAACCAATAACTACACCTATGTCATACCACAAATCTATACCAAAACTTACGCTTACGAAGTTCGACAGTGACCCTCTAAAGTGGACAGATTGGCTCGGTATGTGCGAAGCAATCATTCACCGGTCGGAGATGTCACCCTTCGAGAAAATAACCCACCTTCAACAGAACGTTGTTGGAAAGGCGAAATCCGTAATCGCCGGCTTTCGCTACAACGGGAACCTTTATCACCGAGCGTTAAAGAGTTTCCAAAACCGCTTTGGAAAACCTCATGTCGTAGTCCAAGCCCATCTGGATAAGCTTTTGAAAGTGGCACCAGTTGCAGAGGACGACACTGGTAGTGTTTCGGCATTCTCCACCGTAATTAACAATATTGTTTGGACATTCCAGGACCTGGGCTAGCTAGATGACTTGAAAGCTGCGAGCAACGTCAAGTCTGCCATTGAGAAACTACCATCACCCATGATTTTGAAATGGAACGAACGTTTAATACGAAATAAGATCATACGCCCCATGCTGATTACCCTCGGAGATTGGTTGCAGGAACAATCCGAAGCCCACGAACTATTGCCCACGAAGCCAAAACCAAAGTTCGCTGGCAAAGCCGGAGTAGATAGACAACAACGAAGACGAGACGACCCCCTGCCAACGTGTACGCCACCCACGAAGGTGAACAGCCAGCAACGCCTTGCCTGTTTGCAGATGGCAATCATCCAGTTTCTTCATGCCCGAAGTTCGCAGCACTTAGGGACTGCTCATTATTTATTGTACAGGGGGAGACTGAGGAGAAACTCTACAGTTATAATATTTTTTCGTTGCCCCCCTCTTTATACAAGTAAGCCCCCCCCCC